AGCAACTAATCTTCTTTATGTTTGTGGAGACATGTCCAATTTTTTCTTTCTAATTGTGTATAATGAAGTTGATATTATCGAGTGGAGAGTGAAGAAGTTTAATTGACAAGGAGGAAGAAGATTTCAATTAATCATGTTGTTTATGGAAAATTTGTGATTTGCTTCAATTTTCTTGAGTTTTCTAGATTGGTGTTGAACAATTTGTATGGTTAATTTGTGATTTGTTTGAATTTTCTAGAATGTTGCTTTATATATGGATAATTTGTATTGAGAGATTGATATTTGACTTTTATTTTGATATGAACTTGTTATTGTAAATTTCTTACGACAAAATCTCATGAGTACCCATGAACCCGCAAATACCCATCGTATTGGGTTGGTTTGAGTTTTCCAAATATAATGGGTTTACCGAGTTTTTTTCATGGATAAACTCATAGGTTTGGCTTTGGGTTTGACAAAACCCGACCCATTGTCATCGCTATTCGCTACTTAGACTGGCTCTAACCTAGGGAGTGAAAAAGCTATAAAGCCATGTTTGACTTTTTTTCTTCCTCCAACCCACAAAGAAAAGGGAAGCTAAATATTGGTATTGGGTTTTTGGGAGTCATATATGGCTGGGTTTTGGGAAGGGAAGCGGAATTTAGCTGTGCACGCGCGCGGGGGCCTGTCTCGGCCAGCCGGCGGGGCAGGCCCTTTTGTTTTTTTTTTCTTTTCTCTTTTTCCTGGTTGGTTGGTTGTTTGGGAGTTTTTTCTCTCTCTTCTCATTGGTTGTTTGTGATTCAATTTTAAATATAAATTTGAAATAATTGATGCAGTGACGAAGAAACGGTCATAAAAAAGGTCATATTTTAACGGCCATATTTTTTCTTATATATTACATCACTCTTCATAGATTTCTCTTCACTCATTCTCATCGCTTAAATCGCATTCTCTCAAAATTCAATTTGTTATCGTCTCTAAAAAAATGACAGGCAAGAGAGGACCTAATTGGCGTCCGAATGAAGATGAAATCTTGTGCAGAGCTTGGGTGTCGATATCAGAAGATGGAGCGGTTGGCACCAACCAAAAGTCTACAAGGTTGTGGGAAAGAGTGGCGGTAGAACATAGAAAATGGGATTCTACTAAAACTCGTACTGATATTGCAATGGAATCTCGAATGAGGATTATTAGCTATCGCTGCAATGCTTGGAAGGGAGTTTTGCAAAGAGCACAAAGGCATCAATCAAGTGGCACGAACCAGTTTGATGTGATATTCTTTTGGACCCTAAATTTGTTATTTTCTTATTTTTTATGTGTCAATAAAAACTTCTCTAACCCATGTACTAATTATTTTATTAAGAAAAGGATGCAAGAGCACTATATAAGCAAGAGAATGAGAACAAGTCTTTTGCTTTTGAGCATTGTTTTGACATTCTTCGAAATTGTCCAAAATGGTACTGCAATCCTGAACTGCTTGTTAATCCCATTCCACCTATGGGGCAAGGTTCCCAAATTTCTCCCACAAGTTTTGGTTCTCAATCATCTCCCGTGGAAGGCCTTGATGACTTACCAAATGAAGGAGCTACGCCTTTCGTGCTGACTCGCCCTAAACGACGCGACAAACAAAAGGCAGCAAAGAAGAAAGGTAAGGTAGTTGTTGAATCGTCAGACATATACACTACTCAACTGCTAGAGTTTGGTAATGATATGAGAGAGAGGCAAAAGTCGAGGATGGAGTACGAAAACAGAAAAATGAATGTTCAAGAGAGGAGACTAGAGCAGGAGAAAGAGGAATGGGCATACAAGAGGCAAATGAGGGAGCGTGAAGCGGAAAAGTGGGTTGTTGAGAAGAAAGAGAGGGAAGCCGCAATACTTCAACAAAATGTTGCTATTCTGGAGAAGGATTTGTCAAAGATGACACCAAGAAAGAAGAGATTTTGGAAGCGTAAACAAAATGACATTTATGGGTACAATCAATGTGATCCCAACTCTTATCCAAGTGATGGCAGAGATGGAGATGCAAGTGGTGGAGGATATGGAGATGAAAGTGGTGGATGAGATGGCGATTACTTTCCTGTCATGGATTTATAATTAGAAGAAGGTCCTATGTGTACTCTATTGTCTTTACTGCTTTAATTTGTTGTGTGTTCTCTTTCAACCTTGTTGTTTTCATGTGTCATGTGTACTCTTTGAACTTTGAGCAATTCCACGTGTAATAAAAACAAGTGTTATTTAAACTTTGAAATCTGAAATACAAACAAGCAAGCAACATGAAATACAATCACACACTGAAACTTGAAATACAAACAACCAAGCAACATGAAGTAAAACAATGCTAGATATTGTCGTGCAAATTCCAAAGATGCTCAACCAAGTCATTTCTAACAATATACTGCACGTCAGCATTATATTGTTAAGCGTGACAACATCCCAAGCTCTTGCAGGGCCACAAACAATTGCCCATCTTGTTTGGAGGATTCCAAATGCCCGCTCTACATCTTTGCGGTGTGCTTCTTGATGTTGAGCAAACAAAGCCTCTTTGTTTGACCTTTGATTGCTGAAGGTCTTCACTAAAGTCGACCGTGAGGGATGAATACCTTCAGCCAAATAATAACATTGATCATAAGCATGACCATTTACCTCAAATCGTACATGTGGAGCGCTTCCATTTACGATACGATCAAACACTGGAGACATCCCCAGAACATTTATATCGTTGTTCGGTCCAGGTGTACCAAAGAAAGCATGTCATATCCATGTGTTGTAGGATGCCATCACCTCCAGAATGATTGTTGGCCTATGCATGTGGCCGGTGTATTGTCCTGCCCAACCACTTGGACAATTCCTCCATTCCCAATGCATGCAGTCAATTGATCCAATCATTCCAGAAAAGCCACGACTTGAGGCTTTGCGGATTAAGATCGTTAAATTAGCCGGAGTAGGTGCGTGAAGGTATGTGGCCCCGTATATGTTGATAATGTTGTTGCAAAACTTTCTAAAGACCTCCAACAAGGTGCTCTCACCCATACAAACATACTCATCAAGTTGATCAGCTGGAGAACCATATGCTAGCATGCGCATCGCACCAGTAAGCTTATGCTCTGGAGATAGTGACAATTGACCAAAGCTATCGCGCCTTAGAGCAAATGAGGGGTCAAACCTTACAATGTCGCCCATAATGCAATGAAATAATCTTGGTTGCATGCTATAGCGCCTTCTAAATAGGCGAGCATTGTATACTGGATTTGGATCGAAGTAATCCCTCATAAGACGTTGATTACATTCGACCCTTTCACGATCAATGTGACGTCGGCTTGTAGTTTGACGACGACTTGATGAACCTTCAGCCAGCCTCCGGCCGATCAAACTCAAATGTAGGTGGTGAAACCTTTCGTACTCTTCGAGTTCTTCTTCTCCCCCAGACGATGAGCTATCTTAGATAATCATGATGAATGTGTTTGCTTTATAAATGGGAAGAAGTTTTAGTTGAGTTGATGAAAATGAAGAACTGCCATTTATAAAGACATGGTGCAAAAAATGACAAAAAAACGCCCGTAAAGTAACGTCTACAAAAAAGGTCATATTTGCAGTGGTCCCGAAGTTAATGGTAATATTTTAATGACTAATTTATTTTTAAAAAAAATTATCTCAGAATTTAAAAAAATTACACCGAAAATTTTGCATTCAAAAGTAATAACGAACTATGGAAAAATTAAAGTAAAATATAAAAATTAAAGGTCAAATAAGTATGATTTATTGAAATAAATTGAAAAAGGGAGGTGGGAAGGTAAATTTAGCTTTTTGTAGGGTTGGAGTGAAAATTGGATTTGGGGAGCTAAAAAGTCATATTTGGCTATTTGGGGAGCCAAATTCCCTTTTGTGGGTTGGAAGGGTAAAATACTTCGGGTACCACTAAAATATGAGAATTGGAGGAGCTATATGACTTAAGTTTGAATAGGGCGTCGAGTACCACTGAACTCTATTATATGTGCACCCGGTACCACTTAAGTTTACTGCTAAGTGCATTCTGTTAAAATTGGCAGAATATTCTTGGAATATTCCATTTTCTAAATTTCAGAAATGGTCCTTCTACTTATTATTATTATAAAAAATCATTTGGACTTATGAAAAGCATCACTTTTTATTGTTTAGTTGGAATCTATTTTTAAATTATCATTATGTGTTCTAATAATTGAATTACTACCTGAAGAAATATATTCTATGAATTTTATCACGATATAAATAATCTGAGAATGTTATATTTAGTTCACTTACATCATATTGATGTTGTTTAATTTTCCATTTAAATCTCCTTGTAATTCTATAATATTATATTTTAGATGTTCCATATTAGTTAAATTTATTATTTCTAATTCTTTTTCTATAGTCATATTTTCTTTCTTATATTTGAAACTGAATGTTGTAGCTTTTATAATTTATACTTATTACTTGGTAACTTTCTATCTCATTTCGTTTTAATTTTTTCAACTAATGAAATATGTTTAATTTTCAAATTGTGTACCATTTATCCTTCTTTGGTCTTGATGTATTAATGTTCAATAAGGTTTTATTTTAACTGATTTTAGTAGTGCTTTTAATTGAATTATGGGTTTAAATAGATAATTTAATATTGATTTTAATTATAGATTATAATCTTTTAGTATATTTATTATTCCTTATTGATATTCATTTATTATTTTTACTATTTTATCTATTATATTGAAAAAATTTCATTAGCCATGTTAGTAATACTATGTTTAGAAGGTTCTCTAATTTTTATATTAGATAATACTTGTTGAAATATAATTTTTGATGTTTTTAAAGTTTTGGCTACCAAAAAATAACTAAAAGTTTGAGTTGGATGGAAAACTAAACGGATATACATTTTGGAGATTTAATGGTATCCGACACTCTATTCAAACTTAAATGATATGTATTTTCTCAATTCTCAAATTTAAGTGGTATCCGAGATATTTTAATCTCATTAGCAGAATAACTCTATTGATTGGTAGAGCCGTAGAGGGACGACATTATTGCCGTTGGAGTGTCCGTGTCGTCGCAGTTGGGTTGAGACGACCGAAGAGACTAGAGACAGAGGTGGTCACCGGGATTGGGATTGGGATTGGGATTGGAACTGGAATCGGAATCACAGCCACCGCCGCCGCGGCGCCGCCCCCGTCGGATGCCCCCAACCCTGACGCAAACTTCTCCCCAACCAATCAAAACTCCCCTGTTCGGCTGTTCCCTTGCCCTAACGTCCTTCGTTGTCTTCCCACGCCGCTCTGCAATGAACGAAGTCATCACGGCGGCTGATGCATAGGCCAGATTCCGATCAGCCACATCGCAACCTTCCATTATCCCTTCCAACGTCCCTCTCATCTCCGCCTTCCTCGCATTAGCTATCGCCCAGTTTCTCAAGCCCTTCACCGTCTGGTACTACTCTCAAGCCCTTTTCCTTTCTGGTTACTATTGGTATTCTATAAAGCTTAGTGCTATCAATTTGTATTTTTCAGCTTCTAAGTGAAATTTGGGAAATCCCTTTTCCTATTCTTTTGCTATCAATTTGTATTTTTCAGCTTCTAAGTGAAATTTGGGAAATCCCTTTTCCTATTCTTTGCTGCCGATGTACAAAGCTCTCGTTTTTATTAGCAGCGTGAATTGGTGAGGGGAAGCAGATGAAGCTTCAGGGAAGAAAGCTTTTCCCTTTTAAGTTTTAACCCATGTGGTGATGAGTTAACGAGAGTTCCTAGATGAAAGGAAGTGGTGGATAGTGAACTACAGAATGCTAGGAGTTCTTAGAATTGGCCGGTGAATATGGGGCTGGTGGGGTTTAGCTCCTACGCAATCCACATATTGAAATGAGAGCGTGCATATCTTTCTTGCTAGGAGTTAGGATTAATGTTGTAAGGAAGAAGCAATTGAAAACTGTTTCACTATCTTCCTTTTGCCCATTGATGATTGTGGATAATGCACTGGATTCAAAACCCTTTCATGTTGCAAGTCATTGAGATATGTGGTTATTTGAGGTAGTGATGAATGTTGCATTGGCTTCTCAGCTGTATAAAAGTTGAATGTGTTCGATTAATCCTCTTCTGCTCTAAAAATCATGAAGGTTCAAGGAGAGAAGATGGGATTCTAGAAGGATGCTTGGGTCTGGTGGAATGCCCTCCTCACATTCAGCAACGGTGACAGCGCTGGCTGTGGCTATTGCACTGGAGGAAGGAACTGGGGCCCCGATTTTTGCTGTCGCACTGGTTTTGGCTTGTGTTGTATGTACTCATTATCCAGGTCTTCTTCATTCTTCCAAGTTTCAATGCTTGAACACATTGAAGTTGATGAATTTGTTCTGGAGATGAGGCTTCAGTACAAATCAGGGTGCTTGTGTTATTGAATGGCAAGTTAATTCCTAAGCTAATAGGCTACATTGGTGTAGAGTGAAATCTCATGATCAGCATTGCATTGCATGCATAGGTCACTGCTAGATCTTAGTTTCCTGTTCTACATTTGCTACCTTGTTTAAATCTTCAATTTTTCCTCCCAGTACGTGATTGTTTGTAGTAGAGACATTAAGCTGCCATTGTGGTCTTTTAGTGATTGGGGGTCATGCTTGTCTATTTGTACGGTTGTGTCCAGGATGTTATATGGGTCCAAAGCTTCCTGTAATTATTTTGATGAATGGTTTTGCAGGTTATGTATGATGCTACTGGTGTTAGACTTCATGCTGGTCGTCAGGCTGAGGTGAGATTAATTTCTGAAGTTTCTGGACATACTGTTTTACCAAAAATCAGAAGAATATGCGAGTTTGATGGCAGTTGTGTGCAACTGAGCATATTAATTTACTTTCATATTATGGTATCTGGTTAGGGATATCTATTCCCATACTTTTCTGTTGGTTTACGGCATTCAGGACTAGGTGAAATACTTGTATACTATCTTTAAGTTTAGGTAACAAGTTTTAAGTATACTGGATCCTTAAATGATGACTACTTTTCTGCTGTTAAATCATCTTTCTTATGTTGTTTTATGCGGTCCATTTTACTCTTCTGCATTTTTATTGGGAGTAAAGTGGTGGTCTTGTTATTTACTTGCCAAGTTGTTGTTCTAACTTCTAACATCCTTTCTCCATACTTGCTCGTGAACATATGTTGTTGCAGTTATTAAATCAAATTGTATGTGAGCTACCTCCTGAACATCCCGTCTCCAATTGTAGACCTCTGCGGGATTCACTTGGCCATACTCCCATCCAGGTTTGTTGCTGGCGTAGTTCTTGCGTTAAATGCAAAGGGTACCACTCAGTTTCATAACAGCAGGGAACTGGTCCATGTTAAATGCTTTTCAAAGTTTCTCCAAGTTTCATTCCGTGGACTTCAGATCACATCTATGCATCGTTCTCTCCTAGTCAATTTCATGTTTTAACTAAAAAGAAAGAGTGACGTTAGTTTATTCTAGAAAATGGAGTTCTCTTGATGGCTAAATCACACTATGAATTCATGTGCTGAAGAATTGTGTACATGGGGGGTACTGATGCAGGTTCTCGCAGGTTCCGTGCTAGGGTTGGGAGTTGCTTTTCTACTGAGAACTTCCAGTTAGCAAAAGAGCCCCATTCTAAGGTGTTCCTTCAAATGCATTTTACTGGCTCCGGCAAAAGCCACGGAACAAATTCCATTTGTGCTCATGGGTAAGGAAGAGGAACTGAAACAGAGCAAGTGAACTGCTCAGGTAAATGTTGGGTTTGGGGTGTTAGTTATGTATACACAGCTTGGTTTGTTCTGCTTTTGAGTTGTTTGCTTCTTTCCAAGCGAAGAGACAACAGGAAAACACAGCAAAAGATTATATGATTAACTCTGATGATCAGAGTCTGATCTGATGTTCTACTGCGTATTTGTCATCTGGTTAGCGTAAGAAAAAGTGTAAAATGTAATGTTAACACCACTTCTCATCAACTGTGTAGCTGTAATTTGGTTGCCGTTCATATCATTAGTTGCCTTCTTTTGCCTGTCCATCCATTTACCAGTCTGACGGAGGTTGCAAATTGCAAACCTTGCTGTTGATGAATTCTTACCTCTATCGAACCAATTTAGCTAAGCCCTACTCATCAGCTCATCTATCTCACTAACTCATCAGTTTCTTATCAAGTTAATCAATCACGGCAGATGAAGTTGTGAGCTCACTTTCTACAGAAGCAACGACAAACATTAAGCCTTTGTATTTGATCTTACTCCATTCAAATCTTTTACCTACAACCTTCAATCCAATTCGAATACCTTATAAATCAAGTCATACAACCACAATAATCCATATCACCCATCCAATGGTGCTTCATGATAGTGGGTTGGATACTCCGTTTGCCCCTCCCTCTGTTTCCCATTCATGCTTTCACAGAATTCTTTTTTTTTTTTTTTGCCGCCGGTAGTTCAATTAAATACCATTAACGTTGCATGTAACCAAAACGATATTTGATTTCGTGGTCACGGTTCACACATTTGCCAATCATATCCTCCTTCCTTTGAATGCAGATGTTGGCTTTTGGGCGCCAATGTTGATTATGGTTAATTTAACAAAAATACCTAACATTTTAGTTTCAAAATAAAATCACGTTTGCAAGCCACTAAATTGGAAAAGGAAATACTCACCAAAAACTTAAGAGTTAACAGGTTGATATAAGTTACATGTTGGATTGGATGAAAGTTGCCACTAAGATTTCCATTTAAACTTATGGGTGGCACCTATGTTAATGCTTGCCTATGTCAAACCGGTTTATACTGTCTTGTTGTTAAGCAAGTGATATGGTTCGATCGATAATATAATTGTTATATATCAGTTCATGCTGGTTTGAAAACATATGTAGAAATGTAAACACCCATTAACATCAAATGAGTTTAAGCACATATAAAACATATTTGAAGACAATCTACATTCATATTTAAATAAAATACAATATTCTAAAAAAACAACAAATACTCATATTAAATACAATATTTAACGTCAACACTCAAATATTTATACTTGATTTCGACAAATATTATCAGATTTAAATTTCGTATTCATGAAATAAAACATTATTTAATTTTTTTTATTAATTAAATTCACAAAAACGACATCATTTAATTTAGAGGTTGAACATCAATCATTTTAGTTATCCAAATAGTATTCCGGTTTTCATAACTGACGACACCAGTTATATCAAGTTCAAGTTGCTCAACCAGCCAGCATTTCATGTAATAACCATTAACCATCACCCCAAATCCAATCGGATAAACGGGCCGTCAAATTGCCAAAATTTCGTGAAAAATAATATTGTGGCGCTAAACGTTAAAGAAGTGTTGTTTAAATAAGAAACTTCCCTCACAAGCTTTCCGGAATTCTGACAGCCATCACCGTCGAACAGTCGATAACCTCTCGCTGTCACTGGCTTACCCACCTTCATCCTCCCCTACTGCCAACCCAGGCTTCTTCTACGGCGACGGACTTGAACGCTGCAACGGCACGCGGCGCCTGATCCGGTGAAATGCGTCCACTAAACCCCTCTCCTTCTCCTCCTCCCTCCTCCTCATCCCTTGCTTCTGATGAAACTCGCCTTCTCAACGATGAAATCTTTGAGCAGCTGCACAGTTGCATTAAGCTCGCCAATGAAAATGTACGGTTTCCCCTCTAATCTTCTCATGCTTCTTTGCCTGTGTGCTGAGAATTTCGAAACCTAAATGTAACAATGAGAGAAGACAGAAAGTAATTTTGCTAGAGATTTTGGACAAGAAGTCCCAAAAGTGACCTTCTCCTTGGCTCTTCCGACGCAGAAAATCAATCACAAGAATGCGTGGGGTCTGAAGTTGATCGATCATCTGATGGAGATCGTGAAAGCTGAAGCAGATGGTGGAGCGGAGACAAATTTCCGAACGGTGAGTTTGGAAGTGTTTACCCCCAAAAGGGAGATTCTACATGGGTTTTAGACTGTAGCTGACGTGGTTTGAGTGATCAGGCGAGTTGCTCACTGGAAGCTGGGGTAAAAATTTACTCTGTTAGGGTTGATGCCCTGTACTCAGAAGCTTACAATGTCCTTGGTGGGATCAGTGTAGCTAGTCTAGGGTCTCAAGAAGGTAACTCTTTTTGACTTGCTATGCTGGGAAATTTGCACATATTATTTACTCTTGACTGATGGATTGATAGCCATCATTTATGCAGTTGATGAACTCCTTAGTGACAAATTAGGCTGTTACCATAACTTTGCTGCGAAAAGTGATTGTTTTCTTTGCTTTCACTTGTGTGGGTGACTCTTGTGCAGAATGGATTCTGGTTCATTACTCCCCTAACTTAGTTCTTTAATATGGTGGCAGATATTGCCACCTCAGAGAGTCACAATGCCGGGAGTGAAGAGGGCAAGGATAATGTGGAAGAAAAGCTTGAGAAAAAGGTTGACATTGTACAGCTTTGTGTTTATGTTACTATCATGTTTCTGTTTTAGGGAATGGTATTTGTAATTGCAAATAAACATCACGCAACTGGTCTGTGCAGCTCTCTCCATTGTCCACAATAGAATCCTCAATTGAAGCTCTTAACTGGAATGGAGTTGACTGTTAGTGATCACTCTTACTGCCCATTATTCCCTTTTATGTTTCTTCCTCCATTTTCTTGCTTTCATTTTGAACCCCTATGTTCAGCTGCAGCTGTTATGGATCCATCATATTATAGAACATCTCTTACGATGAGTCAAGGTGGATCCGAGAGTCTCCTACTGAATAATGTGGGAGTGTATGGAGAATGTAGGCTTCTTTTTGATTACTTTGAAGTGCCAGGAAGAAACATGTCCTGTATGCCTCAATCTGACATGTCAGATGTTATTGACATCTCATTTGCTAAAGGTGCCTGATTTTGACTGACATGTTTGATTACAAATTTTAGACTGCATCCGGGCTGATCAATATTCTCCTTTTTGCTGCACTGATTTTGTCATTCTCTGTCTTCTCTACAGATTCTATTGAACAGATGGTGATTAACTTGCCAAGGAAGATGGAGATTTCCCCCACCCTAAGAGAGATAGTTTCCTTGCTCAATGAAAGTAGACAAATGCCATTTGAAAGATCCAATTTAACCGATAAATTTTGCAATATGGATGACGATATAGTTCACGATGAAGAAGTTCAATCAGATAATCATTCATTTGAGAACAGTGAGACCACTTTTCAGGAGAATGACTACTACGATGCATCGTTTGAATCGGATGTCAGTACAAGTTATGAGAGAGTGGCCATGTTTCTGTTTCGAAGTTTGGATATAACTGGAAAACAGAACTCCTGGGCGGGTCCTGATTACTGGAAATTTTTGAAGCCGAAGGGTGGGTATGATTATAGAAATGTAGCTTTTATGTGGTTTCTTATCATCTATCGTCAATATGTAGGTCCTAACATCCTTTTTGAACAGTTCAAAAACCTGTACAAACTGCAAACGATGGATTTGCATGCTCTTCCAGCAGGAGAAGGAAGAGAAGTGTTGACTGTAATGATATTGACTTCACCAAGTCCTTGGACTTTGAGGCTGATATCTTTGCTCCCCCAGCAAATCCATTGTCTTTACTTCTGCCAGCAGATCGAGTACAGTCGGGCCATTCTCTTCCAGAAGACTGCCATTATCAGCCTATGGATCTGGCGAAGCTTTTTCTTCGTCCTGACCTTTTGGTAATATTGATCTCATATGAGAGTTATCTTGTTATGTCAATTTACTTCCCAGGAAAGGACAATTAGATCTTTCTGTTCTGAGTTATCTGAGTGTTCTTGCCCTGGCCTTACACAGAGTTTTCCCTTTTCTTTCTCTTTATTGCAAAATCTACAGTTTCTGGGTAGGAGAAGTGCCACACTCTCAGGTACAAGCTTAATCTATGCATCCATTTCTTTATTATTGACATGACCTATCTTAATAAATCTTAATACATGGACATCTTCCACTGAAACAATTAAATCCTAAACTTGTCCTTTTGAACTTATATGGGTTCACATATCTTACTCTAAATCTAGATTCATATATATATGGATCAAATCTGATATATGCTATTCCATTTTTCTTGTTCCAGATAGTACATCTGAATTTCATGATCCTGATGAAGCATCACCGTCAAGCGACTGTGTCAATCCTTGTGATCTCAGTGGCCAACATGGTGACAATTACTTTCATGAAGCTATAGGAGCAGAGGAACCTTTTTATCAGAACGGACAGGTTTTATTGTTATTACTTCTTTATACATCGCTCCTTCTAAACTGTTTCGTTCCTGTTAACTGCTAGTCTGCTAGACTGTTACTGCTGTATAAAAAGTTCGTTGAGCTGGACTAGGACTATAGAAATGACGTACCTGTTCTGGACCATCACCTGATTTTCATGCATGCCTCGTGGAAACTCTTCTAGGTCAACAAAATGGAGGGTCGACATGGAAAAGCTAGTAAGCCAGTTGATCTACGTGCATTGAAGCAAACCCTGTGGGAACACTTACAAGAACAGTCTGGTAGCTTTCCTGCAACGACAAGCGTAATGAAGCACCCTTCAACTTTGCTTTGGTATTGCCATTTCATCAGCTTTGACCATTTACTTCCTTACATTCACCGTCTTGTTTTTGCCCTTTGATTTTTGTACAGAATGAATGGAGTGGTCCAATATCCTTCAAACAACTCTTGGCTACATGTCCCCTAGGATCCCCACAAAACGATATCTCACCCCAGTTGTGCTTTATCTGCCTCCTGCATTTGGGAAATGAGGTTGGATTGAAGATCCAAGGATGCCCAACTTTAGACGAGGTCATCCTACATCTTCCTCTCCGTCCTCCATCATCGGACGCAGGACAGTAGCTTTTCGTTCATCCCCGGTCTTGATGATCACTCAGTAACTGTAACTATTCATCAAAATAGAGAACATGAAAGACCCTCTTTTGCTGCAGCACAGAACTCAAGCTGTTGTGCAGGGATTAGTAAAAGATACGTGTTTTGTGCTTAATTAAATCAGCAAAGCTTTATTAGGTTGTGTTCAGTTTTTAACTCCCTTGTAACAGTTGCTGTGTACATATGAACTAACAATGTAAAAGCTATCTAGTTCCATCTCTGCTCCAGAAACCATTCTTTTACATATTCTCGTCGTTGGTACTATATGGCATACTATTAGTACTACTGAGTACTGAACCAAAAATATTAGCAGCTAAAAAGTTTGCGGAAAAGGTGGAAAGGCCTTCGATTCCGGGGGGTAAAAGGTAAAAAGGAAAGAATGGGGTCCATCCAGAGTAATGGGCAAATTATTGAGGAGGAATGGCGGCAAATATTCGAAAGACAAGTAGTGGATCGTGCCCATAGGAAGGGCGGGGCCCATTTCGCGAGCCCAAAATAATGATGGTACGGAGGGAGCCGGGAATCCAGCCCAGTTGGGTTGCACTACAGTCTACACAGACACACTACGGTACACCTTCCCAAGCCATAAAAGAAGTTTCTTTTTGGCAAAAAAAGAGAGGAACTTCCAAAAGGAAAGAAACAAGTGTCTTGTGAAAGAAAAAGGTCAAAGCAGCAGATAGTAGTGTTTCTTTCCACCGACCTTATCCCACCTTTTTGTCCAATTCCGGTCCGCTCGCTTTTCCCTTTTTTCACCCATTTTCGTCAAAATGGAAGACTTTACTAGGACGTGAAATAATTTACGGGTATAACTTGTGTGGTTACGCGGAACTATATAAATTTTTTATATGATATTGTACAATATTGGTCTAGTTGCTTGTATTATGATAGTACATAATAATACATTGATCCTTTACATGCTTTCATAATCTCATTGCATTATTGTTGTTAGGGTCAGACTAATCGTACGTCATGCGTATACTATACGTCAGGTACTATTAGTGAGATATCTCTATCTAGATCATGAATTAAATCGAGTTTGGGGTATGATACTATACCCTAACCTCTAATGGATAAACCTCAGACACTGATTTTCTAAACCCCAACTTGAAGTTTGATTTAATGAAAAACAAAAATTGACCGTTGAGATCGGCCGGAACTCATCTAATCTAAGCACATCCAACGGCTAGATCACCTGATGTATAGTATACGCCTGACGTACACCAGTCATTACCTTGTTATTATCTAGTAGAAATAACATATAGCATAAATTTGTCCGAATTTTAACTTCAACCAACCCTGTTCTCTTCAAACGAATATTGCACTTTATTGTTAGTTTGAAGTTTGAACTCTTTGAATGGTTTGTCATTTGGTTATTTAAATTCGATGTGTGGAGTTTGATAACAAGTTGAGGGAGTAAGATGATTGTGGTAAATGACATATTGATAGATTGTATGTAAGAGAATGAATTTCGAAGTTATATAATTACTATTTGTGTGAAGTTACACAATTGTTGGATTCCTATTATGGCACCGCTAGATAACAAGATTCAGTAAATTGGCAAAATATGTAGAGATTTTTTATTTGATGTTGCAATGTCATGGTAAGGAAGTGTTAGGAGAGAACGACAGGGTATTTCACACTATGTCACTAGTGCTAGCGGATGGAGAAGACAAATAGGAATAGATTTTTGTTTTAACTATCAACGTACATACTGTTAAACAAACTGTCCCAATTCCCATATGTCTCTCCACCACCCTCCCTTACTCCCCATTTATATATCTCTGACCAGTCACCAAACTGGAAACTCCCATCTCCTCCCCCATATTAACTCTCCCACCCAAATCCCAATCAATCAACCCACAAGCTGCTAGCCAGAAAGAACACAAACAATGATGAACAAGTTGAAGAAGAAGTCACAGATTCTGATGCTCATCATCATGGCCACACTTCTCTTCGTTTCCCCTCTCATTTCCGCCTCAATCAGGCCCAAATACCTCTACTTCATCTTCAACCTCCTCATCGTTGCCCTTGCCGCCGAAGCCGGCCTCCTTCTCCCTCATCCCACCTCCTCCTCTGTAGTTTCCCCTGCATCAAAACCTACTATCCCCCTCTCCCCTGACACCGCCACCACCAACACTGCCGCGGCGGCGGGCGCCGATCACAAGTCTCCCGTGCATGATGGTGGAGCTTCCAATCACAAGCTGGTGGAGAAACCCTCATCTGAAGACGGGAATGCTTCACTGAAGTGCCGTCCTTCCATGCCAAGCTTGTTCTTCATCGCCGGCGAGGATCAGGCTGATCAACTAGATTCGGTTGAGGATGTTCACCAGGAGTTGATCGGTAGTGAAGCTGAAGATGATGGCGCGGCCGTTGGAGAGTTCATCAGTGGGCAGGAGCTATTCGCTAAAGCTGAGACGTTCATTGGGAACTTCTACAAGCAGTTGAAGATGCAGAGGGAAGATTCCTGGAACAGGATGGCGGCCTCATGATCATCATCGTCGTGATTAGGCGATCGTTTTATATATGTAGTCATGATGAACTGATGATCAAAAGTTTTCATCAGATGATTAGTTCAAATATATAAACCATTAGATAAAGTCTTTGGTTTGTAGTGGGAGAATGAATTGTATGTTATTTCATTCATACGGTTCTCTCTTTTGGCCAAAATTACAGGTATTTTGTCTATATGTAACAAGGGTTGCCGCATGTGTAACTGTCACCATTGAAGACACTGCTCTACTACAGCATGTAGCTATAAAAAAAAATTGGTTTGTGCTAACTACAGGGTATGCTTAAGCGCCTAGCCGCTAGACAACCACAAGACGCTTCGTTTAACGGTTTCACGGTGATTTAGGTATAGACAATACGACGATATAGTAAGGCGATGCGCCTGAGTGTCACCTAGGTATAATCAGGTGGAACTAGACATACAATATTCAAGAGAAATTAACATCATCTACAAAGTCAATCTTCACTCTCTCAATCTTTCAATATCTCAAGAACTTTGGGAGCTATTGAGCTATTATTGTACGAACTTGTAAGCAATTTTTGTTTTGTTAAGTGTTTAGTAAGTTACAATAATTTGAAATGAAATATGAAAGTGTTGTAAATTGTTATTACATTCATCATGTAATAGATAACTATGCTATAGATAACGTTCCAACTTCCGCTTTATGCCTAACAAACTATGCTATAGATAACGTTCCTACTTGTCCTGCTTCCAACCTATTCATACTTAAGCGACGCCTAACAAACTATGCTATAGATAACGTTCCAACTTCCGCTTTATGCCTAACACCTTCTTGAACCTGCGAACTACTAGTGGGTTGGTTTCAAAGGTTCCATTTGGGTTGTGAACTGTGTATGGAGGAGAGGCCCCATCCCTAGGTATAGATATATAAGAGGCTGCTTTAGCATGTACCATCTTGCCTTCTTATCTTCCTCCCCTTTCTCTACAATTTTTTCCCTTTTGGGCACATCATGCAGTGATCGTTTTAGAACACGTTATAGACTTATAGCTTCAACATAAATTCATTCACCACCCATGGTTCTTTAGTCTTTACAGTTGGCAGAATAGATTCCATACAAAGGTTTGGCTGTGCAAGCAAAATTGATTGATTGCACGGATAGGAGAAATTGGGATGTTGACACTTCAAAATTACCAAAAAGCATAAGCAGAAAAGCTTCACCAATGGCAGAGCTGGCGTGGGACTCGTAGATAAGGAAGGGCCAATTCAATCGCAAGTAGTTTCTCATGATGACAATTTTGATCCGATTTGTTCGTCATTAACCTGCTTGTGTCGGATATTACTTGTTACGAGTCCTACAACATTCATTGCCTTATCGATCACTATGGCATTGGTTCAATGAATCAATCCACTGTGCCATAATCTGCTACCAGTTCAGTCACAACTCACGAATCAAGTCTTACGATAAGACGGACAAGCGGTAGCCCTTTTTTCATACTCTTTTTCTTTGCAAACCAAACACAAAATAAACCCATACAAGAAGACAGTAATATTCGATCTTATCTACAACCCAATTTGAATTAACCAACCTACTGACCACATTTTAAAATTTAAATGAACAAGTTGCAGGCTTCATCCTTCGAGATAGAAGCATAGACAAGAAAGGCCTTACAGCTACTAGCATTTTCCATTCTTTTTTACTTTTATCCTAACATCAACACCACCAACTGGAAGGTAACCTCGACCTCATTGCATGTTCCAGGTTGATGATTCTAGTTTACCAACATATGCTCAAATCCTCCACCACCCTGAAGTCAAGTAGGAACGCGGTTCACTCCGACGTTGTGAAGCAACTGTTGCAGCCATCGCCTTGTTGTCGGATCTTCCTGCAAATATGTCATGTAACAACAATTATACCGCGAGGCTACTCAATGCCCTTCCTTCAGTGAGAACATACACACATAAATAATATGACGAGGGGGTCTCTTACGCGAAGACAACTATTGAAGGTGGCATCTCTCAACCTTTCCGGCAGGCAGCTCCTTAGTGCATCACATGCCTTGAGATTGTCAGATAGTCGAAGGTAGCATCTGATAATATGTTTCAGCAACCTAGGAGATGGCTGTTCAGAAAGCGTTGTCACCATGTTGCCCAGAACTCTTCCTACCGCGAAAAACCTTTCTGCTGTAGTGCAGATGTAATCAAGACCCACATCGTCCAGTAATATCTTCTGGACTATAAAAGTTGCGACCTGCCATCAAGTGGAACAAACTTTTCACCGAGTTTTCACTTTCACAACTATTGTGAAAAAAAATAAAACATAAGAGGGCTTGCATCCGTTGTTTGGATGGGAACTGGATGACCACTCACTTTATTAAAGATATAAAGAAGACATAGAATAAGAGCACCAACCGTCTTTGACAATTCACTCCCCATCTCCATGGTATGCAGACACAAGGGGATTATTTCAGTTGAGAGAAGGAAACTAATGACTTCAGTGTCATCAACCTGGTAAATCGAAAGAAAATTTTGTATGATGCTGCGGGAATGAAGGAACTTTACATTGTCTATAGGAGCATATTAGCAATCACTAGTAGATACAATGGAACAGGAGAAATAAGAAATACCTTCACCAAAGCACCAATGACCCCTAGACTAGTAAGCCTCAAGTACTCAAAAGGCCTTGACTTGTTTGTTGTATTGAGGAAAGGGTACAAATAAAGAGGTATATGGGCTGCAAATCAACAATTTCAGAAGAATACGACACACATGTCAAGATGTTATCCAAAGAGCTGGTCTTATAAAATGCCATATTTGGAGGTTTACATCGCCACAGTACAGGATAAAGAGTATACATATATGTTGCAGGATTATTGAACGGGTGACTAATGAAACAAGATTATTACCATTAAGGAACGACATCCTTGTATCCGGATGAGAGGCAACACACTATAAGGTAAAAGAGAAGATTATGATGCATCAGCAATATCCTCTTAAATAAGCAACGACAACGCAAGTTATCCAATATGTAATAGGAAATCTCTTTAATGACTTGACAGGAAAAGAAAGAAAGAAAAGGAAGATGATTCTTCAAATATATGTCAATTAAACCTCCAATTGTCCAGGTTGTCTAGTCTAAACCCTGTAACTTAAAGACCCAGTATAATTAATGTCTAAGATATTTAAGCGCAGACATGAAGATTTGATAACTGTTTTGAAACCAAATTATCTGTTATGGACTTCTGTCAGAAGCACTATAATTAATGTCTGAGATATTTAAGCGCAAACATGAAGATTTGATTGACTGTTTTGAAACCAAATTATCTGTTACAGACTTCTTTGTCAAAAGCACTATAATTATTCTGCAGAACTGATATTAAAAGATTGAGCCGTGAACATATATCACGTATGGACATATTCAGCTCACCCAAGCAAAAATTATCATTGATTGACTCATGATTATTTTAACAGTGTGTATGTAGTGGAAGCATATAAAAGTGCAGTAGTGGTAAACGAGGTAATAGAAGTGAACATAATCACCATCCAAAACCGAAGGAAAGCAACAAAGTATATAACCTGCAGCAGAGCAAGGGCATTGCAGACCCTATTTGATTGAGATGGGCTTAAGTTTGGTGGGGATAGAACAGGATATATAGAAACTATTTCCTGCAAACAGGAAAGTAAAAATGAGTATTTGCTAAAGAAAAACAGGCCTACAGAAGTCCAAAACTACATATTTTGCATACAACCATTGATTTTGAGTATTTGCTGTATAATGCACTTGTACCATAATTAGCATCATGGACTTGATAAACGGAAAGAAATGACTTCATGTTTAAAGCACATTGCAACTGAATAACTATACATTATACAACACAGCTGGCACCCCAGTGATACCTTATTTGTTTACAAGGACTCTACTAACTCTGATCCACAAAGGTGGATCATTCAACCCAATAGCAATCTCAACTACATGTCGACAGGAGGGTAAATTGTGGTATTAAGGCCTTCTAACTCAAGGCAAGTATTTAGATACGTAGGTCATCAAGATCTCCTCGACTAACCATAAGTTGTGGAGCTAGGTTGAAGCTACGAGTGGCTGTAGCCCCCATCAACTTTGAAATATAGGTAAAATAACATTTAAATTTTACACAATATAGAAGGGATTACAGCTATCACAGTTAAAGGATTTTGCGCAGACCATGACAACAAAACCTAAGCAAAATAATCGCCGGCATATTCTGGGGAATTTTATTGACACAAAAACATATCCTGAAAAGGTCCATATGATTTGAAATATGTAATACAAGGAAACTACATATAGATGGTTTACCTGTAAAAGTGCAGCAATTGTTCCAAAGGAGTTCCACAGCAATGGAGCCAAATCTTTGAATAATTCTCTCTTCTGGAAATATCAACACATGAAAGAAAGACGGCTCATAAAGAAATGTAACGCATCTAGCTTACTAATGCAGTGTACATATATCCAACTGCTTCACACGACTAAGAAAAAGATTGGCCGAACTTACCTTAAATAATAATGTTATTAAAAAAACTTCCATTTAAATACTTCCTTGTTTTTCAAGGAAGCAAAGTACATAGACACACTAGTTCTCATACGAAAGAGGCCCTCTCAACCTAAATGGATAAATTAACTAGATTACCGCAATGTAACAACAACTCTGTAGCCTGTATAGTATCAAATTCCACTAGTAAAACACTATTCAGACTTTCCCGGCAATTTATGAGGAGCCACATTTTACCAAACTCTTTCATATGTACCAACAGAGTCAACAGACAGATTATATTTCTAAGGCATCAATAGGCAATCCTAAATCACTAATGCAATGCACTATAGTATCCAGGTTCAAGTTCAACTGGATTACATGTCCTAGGGCATACTAGAATACTAAGGTTACGAGATAAGGTTCTAAAAGCACGGACAATCCAAAGATTTCAGCACAAACTAGAGAGGCATAACCCATTAATCCGGACTCAGTGTTCATAGCAACCCACGGCTCATGGAAAGTAGCACGCACTCAAAGAAATGAAATGAAGCCAGCTATAAACTCGACTTTAATTTCCGAATGAAAATTCGAGCCTAAGAATTTCCACACGAAATGCAACTCAGTAAGATAAATAAATCAACTACGATTTATGTATGGACACTAAAACAGGCAAAAATAATCATTAAGAAAGAATTCTACTGCTCACGGTTTAGGAAGAAAAAAGATTTACATTAAAGAGACAGTCGTTGTTACAAAAGAAAGACGACTGAAAGTAAATGCCTAACGGGGTTCTTCCGGACACTTGTCCAACTCGTGAACAAAAGAGTAACTAAGGAAATTGAAAGCTCAGACTTCACAAAAGCTAGCATTCATGAGAAAAACTGTGGCAGTTACCTTGGAGAGCTCGAGGAGAGCGTTCTCTCGAAGGTCCTTGTTGCTTAGCTCGAGCACTAAGTGCTCGGCAGACGCCAATCTCCGCTCCTTCCCCGTCGGCGCTCCTGCGGCGCCAGGGTTGGAGCCAGGTCCTCCGAAAGGCGCATTCATGGAGAGTGAATTAGGAAGGTTCACCATTTTTTTCTTCCCCCCCTAAAAATCTGAGAGAATCTGCCTCCTCTCTTTCTCGAACGATTCTCGTAGACGGAATGCGATCGCCGGTCAATGAATTATAAATGCAATTCGCGATTGCTCCTGAGTTACTATGGAAATGAGAAGATTGCAGGGAGAGGGATAAATGGGTTGAACTAAGAAGTTTTGATTTATGTGCATTGGGGTCTGGGGATTGAGTTTCAGTTTCAGCCGTTTCACTTTCATCTTTGGCAAGCATAGGCGACACGTGCTGGGCATGCGATTGGTTTTGGAACACCTGTTTGCCTTTTCCTTTTTTTGGGTAACAGCGGACAGCCGTAACCCTTCGTTGGCAGATAGTTTCCATATGGGCCAGTAACACACTAGTCTTTTGATGGACTCTCGGCCTATAATTTGTAATTGGGAACTTCGACCCCTCTGTCGAGAAAGTCAGCATTCATAAATCGTCAAGTCAAGGGAATTTAATTTGACTCACGGTCGTAATGCCTAAAGTGATTCCTATTGATTTACCGTAATTTAGGTAGTTAATATAAAGTCAGTAGTTAATAAGTGGTTAATAGTAATTATGGTATTGACATTCTTTTAAAACTAATAAAAATTAAGAGTAAATTAATAGGGCCGGATTTATTGGGGTTGGATTTCTTGGGGTCCGAATTAGTATTATATTTAAACTAATAAAGAAAGTTAGGTTATTGTCGCATTGTTATTAACAATTTGACAAATTGAATAACAATTTCCTACTGTCCATCTAAATAATCAAGGAAATAAAGACTAGATATAGCCAGTTTGTGCGGGAAGTAGATGAAAATTATTGAAGAATTAGAGCAAGAATGAGAGAAGTAGGTGTAATGGTTTTAGTTGACAAATAAGTTGTGGGTGTTGTAATAGCATGGGAGAACATTACCATATCAAAGAAGAGAGTGAAGCTTGAAAATTAAATGTCTCATGTATATAGAATCTGTCTGTATAACTAGATACATATGGAATATTTTGATGAAGGAAGGTTCGTGGTGGTTACTTGGGTATAGTTACAAGATCAAGATACTTACATTCTAGAAGCTTTCAATATGTAGCAATAGTATTTGGCTTTAGAGAAAATTATAGACTTATAGCTTCAACATAAATTCATTCACCACCCATGGTTCTTTAGTCTTTACAGATGGCGGAATAGATTCCATACAAAGGTTTGGCTGTGCAAGCAAAATTGATTGATTGCACGGATAGGAGAAATTGGGATGTTGACACTTCAAAATTACCAAAAAACATAAGCAGAAAAGCTTCACCAATGGAAGAGCTGGCGTGGGACTCGTAGATAAGGAAGGGCCAATTCAATCGCAAGTAGTTTCTCATGATGACAATTTTGATCCGATTTGTTCGTCATTAACCTGCTTGTGTCGGATATTACTTGTTACGAGTCCTACAACATTCATTGCCTTATCGATCACTATGGCATTGGTTCAATGAATCAATCCACTGTGCCATAATCTGTTACCAGTTCAGTCACAACTCACGAATTAACTCTTATGATAAGACGGACAAGCGGTAGCCCTTTTTTCATACTCTTTTTCTTTGAAAACCAAACACAAAATAACCCCATACAAGAAGACAGTAATATTCGATCTAATCTACAACCCAATTTGAATTAACCAACCCACTGACCACATTTTAAAATTTAAATGAACAAGTTTCAGGCTTCATCCTTCGAGATAGAAGCATAGACAAGAAAGGCCTTACAACTACTAGCATTTTCCATTCCTTTTTACTTTTATCCTAACATCAACACCACCAACTGGAAGGTAACCTCAACCTCATTGCATGTTCCAGGTTGATGATTCTAGTTTACATATGCTCAAATCCTCCACCACCCTGAAGTCCAGTAGGAACGCGGTTCACTCCGACGTTGTGAAGCAACTGTTGCAGCCATCGCCTTGTTGTCGGATCTTCCTGCAAATATGTCATGTAACAACAATTATACCGCGAGGCTACTCAATGCCCTTCCTTCAGTGAGAACAGACACACATAAATAATATGACGAGGGGGTCTCTTACGTGAAGACAACTATTGAAGGTGGCATCTCTCAACCTTTCCGGCAGGCAGCTCCTTAGTGCATCACATGCCTTGAGATTGTCAGATAGTCGAAGGTAGCATCTGATAATATGTTTCAGCAACCTAGGAGATGGCTGTTCTGAAAGCGTTGTCACCATGTTGCCCAGAACTCTTCCTACCGCGAAAAACCTTTCTGCTGTAGTGCAGATGTAATCAAGACCCACATCGTCCAGTAATATCTTCTGGACTATAAAAGTTGCGACCTGCCATCAAGTGGAACAAACTTTTCACCGAGTTTCCAATTTCACAACTATTGTGAAAAAAAATAAAACATAAGAGGGCTTGCATCCGTTGTTTGGATGGGAACTGGATGACCACTCACTTTATTAAAGATATAAAGAAGACATAAAATAAGAGCACCAACCGTCTTTGACAATTCACTCCCCATCTCCATGGTATGCAGACACAAGGGGATTATTTCAGTTGAGAGAAGGAAACTAATGACTTCAGTGTCATCAACCTGGTAAATCGAAAGAAAATTTTGTATGATGCTGCGGGAATGAAGGAACTTTACATTATCTGTAGGAGCATATTAGCAATCACTAGTAGATACAATGGAATAGGAGAAATAAGAAATACCTTCACTAAAGCACCAATGACCCCTAGACTAGTAAGCCTCAAGTACTCAAAAGGCCTCGACTTGTTTGTTGTATTGAGGAAAGGGTACAGATAAAGAGGTATATGAGCTGCAAATCAACAGTTTCAGAAGAATACGACACACATGTCAAGATGTTATCCAAAGAGCTAGTCTTATAAAATGCCATATTTGGAGGTTTACATCGCCACAATACATGATAAAGAGTATACATATATGTTGCAGGATTATTGAACAGGTGACTGATGAAACAAGATTATTACCATTAAGGAACGACATCCTTGTATCCGGATGAGAGGCAACACACTGTAAGGTAAAAGAGAAGATTATGATGCATCAGCAATATCCTCTTAAATAAGCAACGACAACTCAAGTTATCCAATATGTAATAGGAAATCTCTTTAATGACTTGACAGGAAAAGAAATAAAGAAAAAGGAAGATGATTCTTCAAATATATGTCAATTAAACCTCCAATTGTCCAGGTTGTCTAGTCTAAACCATGTAACTTAAAGACCCAGTATAATTAATGTCTAAGATATTTAAGCGCATACATGAAGATTTGATTAACTGTTTTGAAACCAAATTATCTGTTACGGACTTCTGTCAGAAGCACTATAATTAATGTCTAAGATATTTAAGCGCAAACATGAAGATTTGATTGACTGTTTTGAAACCAAATTATATGTTGCAGACTTCTTTGTCAAAAGCCAAAATTATCATTGATTGACTCATGATTATTTTAACAGTGTGTATGTAGTGGAAGCATATAAAAGTGCAGTATTGGTAAACGAGGTAATAGAAGTGAACATAATCACCATCCAAAACCGAAGGAAAGCAACAAAGTATATAACCTGCAGCAGAGCAAGGGCATTGCAGACCCTATTTGATTGAGATGGGCTTAAGTTTGGTGGGGATAGAACAGGATATATAGAAACTATTTCCTGCAAACAGGAAAGTAAAAATGAGTATTTGCTAAAGAAGAAACGTTTATAATCCTTGACACTTGCAATATTGAAGTGGGTGGTACCTAATGAAAACAGGCCTACAGAAGTCCAAAACTACATATTTTGCATACAACCATTGATTTGGAGTATTTGCTGTATAATGCACTTGTACCATAATTAATATCATGGACTTGATAAACGGAAAGAAATGACTTCATGTTTAAAGCACATTGCAACTGAATAACTATACATTATACAACACAGCTGGCACCCCAGTGATACCTTATTTGTTTACAAGGACTCTACTAACTCTGATCCACAAAGGTGGATCATTCAACCCAGTAGCAATCTCAACTACATGTCGACAGGAGGGTAAATTGTGGTACTAAGGCCTTCTAACTCAAGGCAAGTATTTAGATACGTAGGACATCAAGATCTCCTCGACTAACCATAAGTTGTGGAGCTAGGTTGAAGCTACGAGTGGCTGTATCCCCCCTCAACTTTGAAATATAGGTAAAATAACATTTAAATTTTACACAATATAGAAGGGATTACAGCTATCACAGTTAAAGGCTTTTGCGCAGACCATGACAACAAAACCTAAGCAAAATAATCGCTAGCATATTCTGGGGAATTTTATTGACACAAAAACATATCCTGAAAAGGTCCATATGATTTGAAATATGTAATACAAGGAAACTACATATAGATGGTTTACCTGTAAAAGTGCAGCAATTGTTCCAAAGGAGTTCCACAGCAATGGAGCCAAATCTTGGAATAATTCTCTCTTCTGGAAATATCAACACATGAAAGAAAGATGGCTCATAAAGAATTGTAACGCATCTAGCTTACTAATGCAGTGTACATATATCCAACTGCTTCACACGACTAAGAAAAAGATTGGCCGAACTTACCTTAAATAATAATGTTATTAAAAAAACTTCCAGTTAAATACTTCCTTGTTTTTCAAGGAAGCAAAGTACATAGACACACTAGTTCTCATACGAAAGAGGCCCTCTCAACCTAAATGGATAAATTAACTAGATTACCGCAATGTAACAACAACTCTGTAGCCTGTATAGTATCAAATTCCAATAGTAAAACACTATTCAGACTTTGCCGGCAATTTATGAGGAGCCACATTTTACCAAACTCTTTCATATATACCAACAGACTCAATAGACAGATTATATTTCTAAGGCATCAATAGGCAATCCTAAATCACTAATGCAATGCACTATAGTATCCAGGTTCAAGTTCAACTGGATTACATGTCCTAGGGCGTACTAGAATACTAAGGTTACAAGATAAGGTTCTAAAAGCACGAACAATCCAAAGATTTCAGAACAAACTAGAGAGGCATAACCCATTAATCCAGACTCAGTGTTCATAGCAACCCACGGCTCATGGAAAGTAGCACGCACTCAAAGAAATGAAGTGAAGCCAACTATAAACTCGACTTTAATTTCCGAATGAAAATTCGAGCCTAAGAATTTCCACACGAAATGAAACTCAGTCAGATAAATAAATCAACTACGACTTATGTATGGACACTAAGACAGGCAACAATAATCATTAAGAAAGAATTCTACTGCTCACGGTTTAGGAAGAAAAAAGATTTACATTAAAGAGACAGTCGTTGTTACAAAAGAAAGACGACTGAAAGTAAATGCCTAACAGGGTTCTTCCGGACACTTGTCCAACTCGTGAACAAAAGAGTAACTAAGGAAATTGAAAGCTCAGAACTTCACAAAAGCTAGCATTCATGAGAAAAACTGTGGCAGTTACCTTGGAGAGCTCGAGGAGAGCGTTCTCTCGAAGGTCCGTGTTGCTTAGCTCGAGCACCAAGTGCTCGGCAGATGCCAATCTCCGCTCCTTCCCCGTCGGCGCTCCTGCGGCGCCAGGGTTGGAGCCAGGTCCTCCGAAAGGCGCATTCATGGAGAGCGAATTAGGAAGGTTCGCCATTTTTTTCTTCCCCCCTAAAAATCAGAGAGAATCTGCCTCCTCTCTTTCTCGAACGATTCTCGTAGACGGAATACGATCGCCGGGCGATGAATTATAAATGCAAATCGCGATTGCTCCTGAGTTACTATGGAAATGAGAAGATTGCAGGGAGAGGGATAAATGGGTTGAACTAAGAAGTTTTGATTTATGTGCATTGGGGTCTGGGGATTGAGTTTCAGTTTCAGCCGTTTCACTTTCATCTTTGGCAAGCATACGCGACACGTGCTGGGCATGCGATTGGTTTTGGAACACCTGTTTGCCTTTTCCTTTTTTTGGGTAACAGCGGACAGCCGTAACCCTTCGTTGGCAAATAGTTTCCATATGGGCCAGTAACACACTGGTCTTTTGATGGACTTTCGGCCTATAATTTGTAATTGGGAACTTCGACCCCTCTGTCGAGAAAGTCAACATTCATAAATCGTCAAGTCAAGGGACTTTAATTTGACTCACTGTCGTAATGCCTAAAGTCATTCCTATTGATTTACAGTAATTTAGGTAGTTAATATAAAGTCAGTAATTAATAAGTGGTTGATGATAATTATGGTATTGACATTCTTTTAAAACTTGTAAAAATTAAGAGTAAATTAATAGGGCCGGATTTATTGGGGTTGGATTTCTTGGGGTCCGAATTAGTATTATATTTTAACTAATAACGAAAGTTAGGTTATTGTCGCATTGTTATTAACAATTTGACAAATTGAATAACAATTTCCTACTGTCCATCTAAATTATCAAGGAAATAAAGACTAGATATAGCCAGTTTGTGCGGGAAGTAGATGAAAATTATTGAAGAATTAGAGCAAGAATGAGAGAAGTAGGTGTAATGATTTTAGTTGACAAATGAGTTGTGGGTGTTGTAATAGCATGGGAGAACATTACCATATCAAAGAAGAGAGTGAAGCTTGAAAATTAAATGTCTCATGTATATAGAATCTGTCTGTATAACTAGATACATATGGAATATTTTGATGAAGGAAGGTTCGTGGTGGTTACTTGGGTATAGTTACAAGATCAAGATGCTTACATTCTAGAAGCTTTCAATATGTAGCAATAGTATTTGGCTTTAGAGAAAATTTTGAATGCACGAAATAAGGTGGATAAGTTATTTACATTTTTTAGGGATCATGTATTCTGGAAAACAAACAAATGATTTGTTATTCATTGAAGACAATCTGGAAGGATTTTCAAGTTTTTCAGGCTACAAGTGCCTTGGTATGCTATGGCATGGAGGAATTATTCAATCCCACGACACAACTTCATTAGTTTGGTTTTGATCAAAAACATGTTTTTTTGCCAAAGTTATACTGGGGAAAGTTGTAAGTGATATATATTTGTAGCCTTACAATGTAGCTTATCCTCTTAGGTGTTCAGAAGGAGTATGTCTTTGCTTCAACAAGTTTGTCAGCCATACAATGATTCTGAGGATCATCTTCAATGGGCAACAAACAAGTTCTCTAGTAAAAGCCTTTTGCTAAGACTGGCAGATTATTGTGGAACCTAATAATTAGCCTAACGTCGAGGAAACTTTGTGATAAACTTCATAGGGGGCCAGGTATGGCAGTTGCAACATAATGAGAAGGATTGTTAACTTGTTAGAACTAGCCTTGGAAGTTAGGAATTAGCTACTTCAATGTAATTAATAAGCAGTGAAAGTTAGGAATAATTAGCATTGTTAGGTATTGAGTGTTGAGTGATATAGCTACTGGTATATAGTTGTGTACAACTTTTCTTGAGAAAGTGAGACTCAACTAAGCCTTCACAAGGAGCTAATATGATGCGACCCCGCTCACCGCTTACAGCGTTATTCGGACTCAAATAATCTCTTCAAATGGACCATGGGCCAAGAGACAAATTAAGAGGTTAAAAAACGTCTCCATATCCATCGAGTTCTTCAAGAACGCGTTTGCATAATCTCTCCTTTGAGGATTCAGGAGAATTGAGTGGTCTCCTATCAACTACAGAACGCGTCTAGTTGTGGCGAGCATCGACGATATCGGTTGGCCTCATCCACGGGTTAAAGATTGTTTGGAAGGTTTCATATACCTTCTGGACCTTCTCACGAGTTCGGATTTGTTTGATCAATTTCCGCAAATATCCTTTATTTTCGTGTTCAAGAAGAAAGAAGAAAATCCCTAAATAGTTCGACGTGTGCAACTCTGATGTTTTGGTCCAACTTTGAGTGGATTCTCGAATTAGGATCATATCATAATAATTTTTTTGGGTTAATTGCAAGGATGGTCACTGGGTTTACTAAAACCGTTCATGTTTGGTCACTGCAAATATTTAATTCCATTCATGGTCACTAAGATTAGTTCAATAGTTCAAGTTTGGTCACTCTCCGTTAGTCTCCGTTAATTTTTGCTGATGTGGCAGTCAACTATTATAGTTGACCGTTAAATGAGTGACGTGGTCAATAAAAAAAATAATAAATTAATAAAATTTAAATATTTACAATTTCCACCTCATTTTACAACTATTAAAAAATAAAAATAAAAATAAAACTTAGACTCTTATTCCATCAGCCGCAGCAGCAAGACGCGAATCGTGGCGCTGAAGAAGAGGTTCAGCTACCTGAACTCTAAGAACCCGGAGGAGCACAAGCGCTGGATCCTTCACGAGTACAGCTGCACAAGCGTAACTAACTCTATCATCCCTGTCTCCCATATGGTTTTCTTGACAATGGTCGCTGCTCTGCTACTATTAGCACCAGAAACAAGTGGGAGCTTCTTGACGAGTGACAGTGACTCAGTGAGGGTACATTTCCCAGAAACAGCAGCAGCGGGAGAAGAGAAGCATTAGGTGTGAGCAAATGCAATTGGTTCCAAGGGAAATGGGTCTACGATTCTTCATACCCTCTCTACGACCCTGCCAAATGTCCATTCCTAGATCCAGAGTTCGACTGCCTCAAATTCGGCCGACCCGACAAGAATTACGTCAAGTACAGATGGCAGCCCTTCGCTTGCAATCTCCCCAGGTACTACCAATTCTCGCATAGTAAATTTGCTTTTGTTTTGATTTGCTTTAGCTGCTGTAATGATGAAACAAGTGTGTGGTGGCTTTCTTAGGTTTAATGGGTTGACGACGCTTGTGCAGCTGTACTCGTGAAGGATCCAGCGCTTGTGCTTCTTCGAATTCGTAGGGTTCAGGTAGCTGAACCTCTTCTTCAGCGCCACGATTCGCGCCTTGCTGCTGCGGCTGATGGAATAGGAGTCTAAGTTTTATTTTTATTTTTATTTTTTAATAGTTGTAAAATGAGGTGAAAATTGTAAATATTTAAATTTTATTAATTTATTATTTTTTTATTAGCCACGTCACTCATTTAACGGTCAACTATAATAGTTGACTTCCACATCAGCAAAAACTAACAGAGACTAACGGAGAGTGACCAAATTTGAACTATTGAACTAATCTTAGTGACCATGAATGGAATTAAATATTTGCAGTGACCAAATATGAACGGTTTTAGTAAACCCAGTGACCATCCTTGCAATTAACCCCTGGGAATTTTTTTATTGCACATAAAGAGAATTATTTGTTAGTAAAGACTCACACTATGTGCAAATATAATTATTTTTAGACAGACTCAAGGTGTCATAATACAAGTAGATAATAAGAGAATTGAGATACATTAAGAATGACGTTAGAAAAGGCAAAAAAAAAAATGCATATAAAACCATGTTTTTCGCAAGTAAAAATGATACATGTGTGTAATGACTATAGACAAATGAGATCAAATTGATTTATTTTCCGATAAAGAGCGTATCTTATAAAACAGTTATTCGAGTTGCAAATCATACTAAACTATTAAGTAATGTTCTAGTGATATCTTTGTTTAAGTTAGTATCTTAAAACTTAATCATCTAACTTCATCGAGTCTTTAATTAATAGGGTACTAGTGTTGTAAATTTGTTCCCTATTATTTCGAAAAATGAGATCAAGTGGGCAAGCTCGAATCCATCTATACCATAAAAAAAATGTAGAATTTATTAGTAATATGTATGGTGCGTCTATTTTTCGTCCATGTACATGAGCAAAAAGGGGTTGTTTTATTGGAGGAGGACCTTTCTTCTCTTGCTCCGGCGGCATCATAAATAAAGCCCAAAAGAGACTCTTACTGGCTTTTCCGTGGAACGACTATAAAAATCCATGCGGTTCTCCCTCGTCGTCCCACGACTCTAAGAAGAACACAACAATTTCCTCCAAAAAGCTCACCAGATCCCCCACAGCCACTCGACCTTCCCTTCCCTCACGGTCAAACCACACCCACAACCACCGCTTTTTGTTTCCTTATCTTCCCTCTATATATCTCTTCGCTCCATTCTTCTCCTCCTTCCATCTCTCTTCATACCCACATAACGCAAAAAAGAAAAAAAATAACCCTCTCCATCTTGAATCCATCTCTCAAACCCATCCGGCAGCAACCCTTTTTCCCCCCAGTTCTCAAAATCGAAGACGGATTTTGATTAGCTTTGTTCTGGGTTATTTTTTTCCCGTAGTGCATGTGATTCAGGGGAAGCTTGATTGGAAAGGGAAAGTGGGTTGCCAAAGGGTGTGGATTTGATTTGATTTTTGGTGGTTCTCGGTTATTGTTTTTTTTTTAATTTGTTTCCTTTCTCCGGTAGGAAGAAGGAAAGCTGGAGGGATTTTCAGGGGATAATTCCAGGGTAGACAAGTTGTAGACATCACGGCTATTCACGGTGTAACTCGGCCTCTAGCTCATGTCCGTTGTCGCAAGGTGGATATAGTGATTCAGAGCAACCCTTCTGCGCACGGCGGTCGTGGAGCTTTGCCTTCTGAAGGCGGGAGCCCTTCAGATCTCCTCTTCCTTGCCGGCGGTGGTTCCCTCTTCCCTTCGTTTTCTTTTTCCTTTTTAGTTTAGGATTTAGAAGATTTATAAGTTTGGAAACCGAAAAAGTAGAAATAGAATATATAGGATTCAAACATATTGTTTGAGATCCTTTGTGGGTCGTGGAGAATTTGTGAACATCCCTGAGAGACAAGTTAATAAAAAAAAGAGCTAAAAAGATGATGCTCAGAATCAAGAGGGTTCCTACCGTTGTGTCGAACTACCAAAAGGAGGAGGGCGAAGACCCTGCTCGCCGCGGCGGAGGTTGCGACCGCAATTGCCTTCAAAAGTGTTGCATTCCAGGTACGTGTGTTGAAATTGCATTCGTTGCTCTATTGCTTAAATTTTACACCCACAGTCTTCCATTTCCGAGACCATGGGATCATGTTTCTTTGTTGCATAAACAGGCGCAAAGCTTCCTCTGTATACTTTCAAGAGGGTACAGGAGATTCCCGGTGACAAGTGTGTTCTTGAGCATGACGATAACCAGGCTCCTGTTGCATTCTTGGATTCCCTCCTTCTTGGACAAGTATTATAATTTTGCCTAAGCTCAAAGAATGATGATTGATTGAACATAGTTGTGTGTTTGTTTTCTGTTCTCGATTGTTATCAGACTTTTGAGGGCTAACCATTGTATTTGTTGGGATTCCAGTGGGAGGACCGCATGCAGCGAGGACTGTTTCTCTATGATGTCACTGCATGTGAAACCAAGGTACTGTTTCTCTTTTTGTATAATGCATTCTTATAATAGTTTATTGACTCTTGGTGTGGGGTTTGGTGATTGATGCTGAAGTTTCTTTCTTGAATATTTCAGGTGATTCCTGGTCGGTATGGCTTCATGGCCCAGCTGAATGAAGGTCGTCATCTGAAGAAGAGGCCAACTGAGTTCCGCGTTGACAAGGTTCTTCAGCCATTTGATGGGAACAAGTTCAACTTCACTAAAGTTGGACAGGAGGAAGTGCTCTTCCAGTTCGATGCAAGCAAAGACGGTGAAGTTCAGTTCATCCCAGATGCTCCAGTTGATGCTGACACCTCTCCTAGCGTGGTTGCAATTAATGTAAGGTTCTTCCTCTATTTTGCTCACAATTGTTTGTTGCTCTTTTTAGCCAAACGAGTAGTTAAATTGGGAGGGATGGAGTATTGAGTCACTGTTATTTGATTGTTAACAGGTTAGCCCTATTGAGTATGGCCATGTGTTGTTGATCCCGCGCATCTTGGAGTGCTTGCCACAGAGGATTGATCGTGAGAGCTTTTTGCTTGCACTTTACATGGCAATCGAAGCTGGAAACCCATACTTCCGCTTGGGTTACAACAGCCTTGGTGCATTTGCTACCATCAATCATCTTCACTTTCAGGTGAATAGTCCATCAATAATTGAATTCTGTAGCTACTGCATTTATTTTGAACTAGCAATATCATGCTAAATGATGATTTCTTACGATTCATGTGCAATAGGCATACTATTTGGCTGTGTCATTCCCAATTGAGAAGGCTCCTACCAGGAAGGTGACAACATTAGGTGATGGAGTGAAGATCTCTGAGCTCTTTGATTATCCAGTCAGGGGCCTCATCTTGGAAGGCGGAAACACTCTGCAAGACTTGTCAAATGCTGTCTCTGATGCCTGCATTTGTCTTCAAGATAACAACATTCCACACAATGTCCTGATTGCTGACTGTGGAAAACGCATCTTTCTCTTGCCACAGGTATAATGCACTATGAAATCTTATTACAGATGACTATTTTGTTTTTGCTCCTTTTCTGCTTTTTCAATATGTATTATTAACCATTTGGAAATCTGTGCTGTCTGGAAACAGTGCTATGCTGAGAAACAAGCACTTGGCGAAGTGAGCAGTGAGCTTCTCGACACCCAAGTAAACCCTGCAGTGTGGGAGATCAGTGGCCATATGGTGCTGAAGAGGAAGAAAGATTACGAGGAAGCTTCCGAGGAGAATGCATGGAGGCTTCTCGCTGAAGTGTCTCTCTCTGAAGAGAGGTTTGAAGAAGTGAAAGCTCTGATCTTTGAAGCTTGTTCCTACACCTTTAGCGAGAATGAAGATGAGCATCACCTACCCCAGGGTGTCGGAGACCACAAACCAACTCTCGAAGAAACGGACTCAATCAACAAAGGCGCGAACTGCAACATCGTCTCAGGAACTCAAGAATGTTTGGTTCTACAGTAAGGACTAGTTTTGCGGCCTGTCTTTAGTTCAAACCCCGTAAGAGCTTTGCTTGTGTAGTATATGGCGTGGCTGTAGCTTACTAAGAATAAGAAAAACCAGGTTTGGTCGCTGTAGTCAAACTAGGTTTGCAGTTGTTGTTGCTACTAGAATTTGTTTGCATATTGTGATTGTTGCCTACCCTCGTGGCTGTACTAAGCGGGCGAGGGGCCTATGTGATCTGTATGTTACCTCTGAGATTCGAGGATAGTGCGTTTGTTATGGAATCTTCTGTTATCTTTCAAGAATGGAAGCTTCAATGAAGACTACTGTTGAATGTTGATGTCTTTTCTTCTTTTGCTTTTGTTCTTCTCGTTTAAAGGGAAGAATCGTATCAAGCTTCAATGAAGACTAGTGTTGATGCCTAATAAGTAATAACAGATATTTTCCCCGGGAATCAAAGATACAGATCCTTTGGTACCAAAGTGATAAAAAAATCAATCCTTTGATGTGTATGTTCCCAGTTCTTTTCTCTTGCAGAATGGGAACTGAGCATCTCCCTTTGACAACAACGTTTTGTCCATGCAAGCATGTGAACAGAATGGGAACTAGGAACAGAGGATTGTGAACCACATTTCCTATCTCTGAGATGATAAGCCACCATCAAAATCCCCTTGGCCTATCATGGTCATCTTCCAAATGAAAAGTGGTGATCCTCCCTCTCCTTTGAGAGTATTTGGTCCAACCCTTTAAGAATACCCTTTCCGATAACACCATTTGTAGTTTGTCGACTTGGAATTCAAAGGACAACTAATTTAGTTAATAAGGGAAATTAAAATAGAAATATATGAGTTCGAATTCAGACTTCGGTACCACAATTACCAGATCGCATTTGAATTTGTTGGTGAGACTGATCTGATTATAATTCTATGAAATTTGGATAGTATTATTTGCACACCGATGACCGCCTTATGCAACAAACAACATACAAGAGTACGTATGGTTTTATGCAATTTGGTAGTAAATAATGTTGTATCTCACAAGAACTTCTAGATACTAGTAATTAACAATTATTAACTGTAGTGCCCAAAAGCCCGGTGTTATAAGACGAGCCATCATGGCAAATTAGGAATTTCAGAATTAATTAGTATTATATTATTATTTGGGATAGAGATTTGGATTGTTTTTTAGTAGTTGTTTAGGAATCGGTTATTGTTTCCCTGTGGAGAAGTAGTCATGTTTCAGGTAGGAGAAAGGAGAGATTTATATGCTTATAAATATGTAGTCATTATCTAGTTTAATGGTATGAAGAAGATTCAAACTCAAATACTTTTACAGTTTTAGTAATCTCATCCCCTATTTCTCTTTGTTCTAAATATATTATTTAGTTTATAGTTCCAATCATGGGACACGAGTTACGAGGCTTTCTACCAAAGAATCCACGTGACACCCGATCATGACAAGTGCATTTTGGAAACATCTTCGACTATTTATATTTTTTTTAGTAAAGGACTATATTGATTATGTTTTTCCAATTGTATCATGTGAGATGTATCGACATATCTTAACACTGGAAATATTAATAAACCATCATCGAGCGACGCAGCGAAGTACTATGTCTAGGCCTAGACGGGTAGACACAATCCATAGGGACTAGCATGTGGATGAACACATGTAGTTGATATGCATCCACACACAAGTGCAATGGTCAGAGTTAATCCAAAGAGTTGTACTACCTCGAAGATGAGACCACAAACATGGGGACCCTTTTCACTAAGGGCTAGTCATCATTTGGTCTCATGTGAATATATTGTACTTACTTGTCCCACTACGTGAGAGCATCAAAAGCTACCTACATATAAGATACCATACTTCGATACTATGCACTAGGTAGTCAATGTGTATAGAGATTGAAAGATGAAAGGAATCCGATAGTGCAATAAAGTATTTGTCCCTTGACATTTAGAGTGTGACACAACTTAAGTCCTTCCATAGATCAGTTCTACAATATGTGTAGCCACGCTCAAGTCATGTGATGATTCATTTAAGTTTAGACTTGGATCGTTCTGGTATCGTTGTAATCAAGACGGATTGCAAAATCATGACTACTCAATGGCTAGTAATAAATCTGCAACATCAATAACAATGACGCTTACAGAAAATATACACTCTTAAGACTAAAGAGTGTGTCGAGGTCCCCTCCACTTCGATGAATTGGGTGAAAATGATGCTCTACTAGGCCTTGTGCATTGCCTATAACAGGGGTCACTGCCAATGAGAGAACATAACCACGGATCACACATCACAAGATCAATTATAAAGAACAAGGTACTACAAGGAGAGGTCAATTATCCAAGCACTATTGGGAATCCTTATGTGCCAAGGATGACTTAATTAAATCCAAAAGAAAGTTTCCATCGTGCATACTTTTGCTCTTCGAAAGGATAATCTACCTCTAATGGGTGTGTCGTCCCTATACTCACATCTATCGGTAAATGATGCCAAAGCAGTTATACACGACAGTATCAACAAGTGCAATGCAAGGCAACTTGCTGCTTTTCATGACCACCCTCATTCACACTCGGCCAACCATGAAGTTTCCACAACTGCCTTCAGAGTTCAGACACACGACTCAAACCAGGGATAGTACTTGAGGCAATAGAGTAACATTTCAAGTGTTGAGTTCAAATCAAACCACATGAACTCTCTGGTTGTATTGTATTTTTCGACTTCACTCGACCGTACTATCTAAATAAACGAAACAAAAATACACTCGCGTGTATAGGTTAAAAGCAAAAACTCAGTCGCGACCTGTCCATATCGTTTCATCTGTGCTGGTAAACAAGGCCTAAGCTATTCATAAGATAGCATTAACAAGCAACCGCCCTTGCTGAACTCCAAATTAGAGAGAGTGGGAATGGGGAAGGCATCTGGCGGCTTTTCAAGACGACTCTCAAACTCAGCAACCAAGAAGTTTCTGCAACTGCCTTCACCCATACACGTCTTCAACTCCAAGGAAATTCCCAGGGCACAAGAAGAATCTACCAGGGAACACATAACATCACTAAACAGTAGATACCAGCTTTGAGTGAAAATTACACAACTCTCATTGGCCCCTAGTCCTTATTCTGTTCGGACAACAAAACTTACCTAACATTAGAACATGTGGCCTAATATCCCGACAAGTATCTTTCTTTTACCAAACACCTTGTGTTCATAACGAACCATTTAAAAGAATAAGATGCAAAGGGCGCACATGGGATCATGAGTAATATACTAATACTACCTACATTGAATGATCCCTCAATTCTTTACCTGATCCCATTAGCTAGTTGTTACACTTTGGAAGGCCATGATGCTTGAGCAGACATGATAATGCCCACAATCACTCCAAACAACCCAAGAGCACTACCGAAGATTTCAATCACAAGAATCTTGACAAAGAGTGAGGAGTTCTGGGCATTGGAGAGTGCACAGCTGCTTCCGATGACTCCCACACACACCCTGTTCACAGACAACAGAGTTCCCATTAAAAAAAACATAGATTTTTCTACTTAGATTTATTCTCTGAATATATAGCACTAAAGTGTAGTTGTCGATTAGAATGAAGTATACTGGGTTTTAACCAAGTACAAGTTGGATATACATACCCGTAAACGAGGTTAGCGAAGCCAACAATAATGCCAGATGCAAAAATTGCATATCCCGCTCTCAGAGATTCAGGAGCATATATTTGTGAAGAAGGAAAACTCTCCAACTTTGTTTGCAGGATGATTGCCACAATAACACCGTATATGGCAACAACTTCACAAAATATCACACTGAAATAAACAACCACAGATTATTCCCTTAAGGCGTTGTCATCATTCTAAAGGTCAGAACTGGTGAATGGGTAAAAGACTGGAAGTGTGTCAAACTGCAAGGGCACTCCCACAAGAAAGAAAATTTCACATCCAAATATAATCAGATGCTTTCTATATGCATCAACAGACGTCATCCACATTACTCAATATATAAGAGCGAAAAACCATCATCCTAAGTAGAACTGCCAACCTAGCGTGAAATATCAAATGAATGACAGATTCAGATAGGAATAGTTGAGGCAGTCAACTAGTTGAAGCAGTTGTCGGGAGTAAGAAGAGCACACTATACTGATGAGTGGAATCTGAACTCCATGTAAGCATAAAAAGAAACTTATATTCAGTTTGCAACATATCTAATATCATAAGAAAAGAAAGAAACTCTAACATCTATTTATCCTTTTTTCATTATGTCAAATGAAGGAGAGACTGGATATAAATATAATACAAACACTCATAACTCATATAAGGAGAACTAATCATATAATGTTATCATAGTCAACGAATTATGTACTATACACCTGAATATTGCACGACTTTATAGACACTACCATGAACAACATTCTGGTGTAAGATAAGGATTGGAAAGGATCGGGAATTTTACACCAGCGTCAGCTCTAGACTAGCAAACTGGACGCGAACAACAAACAGAAACACACAATTTACCCAAACCATCTAGGCAATGCGATGAGTAATCTTGTATAAAAAATCGTATCAAGAATAATAACCACACTATAGAAGGTTGAAGAAGCACAAGCTCCCACGGTTGGTGAAGAAACGGAGAAATAAAGACATATCTACGCACTTTGAAAAGGGTCATCTTTCCTTATACAAACCAAAAACGTATATCTCTTTCATCCAACAATCTGAGCTTGTAACACTCTTAAGTCGCTCCTTCTAGCATACGTAGATTAACTAGCCGAATCGAAATGCTAGTGAGTTTAATTCTTCTGAAAACATACTTCCAAAACACAGAGCGGCTAAATGACTCGCTATGACACAACTCCTAACAATGGCCAAATGTAACCAATGAAAGGGACTGCAGTATAGAGGCTCAAGTAATAAATATCGAATCCACGGGTCTCTAGAGTTACTATTACTCAGCGTCAATTCATTATCTAGCAAACCGGATTAAGATGGAAGAACTAAAACAACTCTAACAAACTACAGTTAAAGTTAATCTAATTACAGGTTGGGAACTCACTTAGGTATGATTCCCCCTAGCCACTAGCCAAATTAATGATTGATGATTTCTAACTTGTTTCACTTTCATTCACAATGCGGAGAATCCTTGACTAGACCTTGAATCTCGACTAAAGGATCAAGGCCCTCTTGAGTCGATTGCCTAGAGGGACGTATCCTTCTCTAGAACAACTAATCAAGGCGTTCTGAACTAGAATCCCTCTATCGAATGAGGTTCTCAATCGATACAAAGCAGTGAATCGACCCTCGACTAAAGCAATCGATCCAATACTATCAATCTATGGTGCTCTATTGACCTAATGAGGTATTCGCTCTCATAGGATCAAAGCAGAATCAATAATCTCGACTAAAGCATAATTGAATCATGAAAACGTGCATAGATTGAATATGAACTCAATATTATCAAGTAGGAGTACTCATACAATTATCCAATCAAACAAACATAGCTAGGGTTCCTCAAAACCTAAGTGAAGGGAAGTTACTCCATGGAGAAGAGAGAGACTGCAGTAAGAATCTTCAGATGATCAGTCTTCAAGTCCGGGCTTGTTCCTCGAGCTTCCAAGGAAAAGAAATCCTCCAATTCCACTCCAAGAATGCCCACAAATCGCCCTCTCTCTTTGGTTCGTCCCTTGGGTGTTTGGGATCCAAAACCCAGCTTTCCCCCTCCAAAAATGCACAAAACGGGCTTTTAACAGCCCGAGTTCGCGACCCGGTCGGGTATTTTGGGTACCCGGCCGGGTATTTTTGGTTCACGACCGGGGGGCCTTCTGATGCTGTCAAAAATACCCTATCAGATGTTCAAAATACCCGGTCCCCTATCTTTGATTCTTCGTTTCTCCCTCGTTCGGACTCCAAATCATGTGACGTTTGATCGCAGACGCTCGTAGTCTCGTCCTCTTTCTTATCATGACAAGCTTACATGATTATATGGTCACAAACTGAGGTATAAATCCATTCTTATTCAAGCCATACCCGAGTTTCTTCCCCCGAGTCGTCAATTGATCTCCAATTGACTTGAAACTTGCGCCTACGCTTCACTTTATGTGCTAGGACCTAAAATGTGATAAAGGAACAAAACCTAGCGTTAAATAGGCCAAAGAAGCGATAATGCAAGATTAAACGATCAAGAAGCTAAGGGGAAAACATGTGCAAATATCGACTCATCAAATCCCCCACACTTAACCGTTTGCTTGTCCCCAAGCAAACCTAACTCAAACCAATGCAGCTCTCCAGACCTCTATAGCAACATGCACTCTCGATCGTTGATAGAGGATTTTCTAGATCATTTAGCAGCTACGAGGTCAACCGACGCACAAGTCATCTCATAGCTTCTTCGGCGAGAATGCTAGCCTCGAGTCGGCATCATGGCAAATAGTGATCAGAGGACAAATGAATCGTGGAAGAATGGACTCTCAAAAACAAAAGATCATGGACTCGCATTTTTAAGGTGCTCTATTTTCTTCTTGAACATGGTTGGAACCCCTTTTCTTTCTTTTTTTTTCTTGTTTTTCTGTTTTTCTTTTTCTTTTCAAGGGTTCCAATTTGTATTTTAGAAAATGAGGGCTCCCACCTACCAGAGGTTTTGTGGGAGCCCGGCTCTTACCGGCAATGCCAGGAGCGGATGTCTCGAGCCTCGTGCGGGGGAAAGAAATGTAAGGGGGCTGGAGGTAGTAGGTGGAAATTGGGAACGGATTCTCGTCTTCCCTTACACACTTTAGCCCTATTCGCACGGGAGACGTTATTTTAAAGCACATTTTCGAGCACCTTTTATTTCAAAACATGATACAGGAGTCCATGATAGGTAGAGATTCCACAACACCACACAATTCAAGGGTCCTAAGATCACTAATTCACACAATCAACCAACACAGTATGAAGAAGAAAGGATACTTCTTAAATGCATCAACATCCTCCATAGTGCTACACTACCTCCCTAGGTTGCACATTACTATAGAGACTGTCAATTCAAAGCATACTGAGCAGGCAATTGCAAGGAACACGTACTTGGAGCCCTCAAATCGAAATTTGGGCAGTTGACTAGGCTCCAAGCACACACATACAACCAAACATTCACACGCGTACATAATCGAACATCCCACCCACACTTAAGCACGACATTGTCCTCAATGGAGGAAAGATAAGGATGGTAGAACGAAGTTACCAGATAAAGGGTGAATGATGGTGGACGGGGCAGGCGGTGCATTCCAGGAGGAGAGAGTATTCGGAACACAAACACCACACAAAATCTCACAAAGGCTGAGTTATTGACTCTAAAATCAAAGAACAAAACTGACTCGACCGAGGAGAAATAGAGAAAGAAATGCAAACCGACTGGTTGGGTTGCCTCCCAACAAGCGCTTGTTTCACGTCGTGAGCCGGACGATGGTTCCTAAATTTCGGTCCACCCCAGAACCTCTTTGAAGTTGAGGTTCTCGTCGATGCGGTGGAATCTCAAGTCACGAACATGTGGTATGACAGGTGATGGAAGCTCATGCACTTGATGCAGATGAAGTCTCCACCCTCGAGACCTCTTCTTCTCTTCTCTCGTCTCATTGACCCAAACCAGATATGACAACATCGATTGACCACCATCGCATCCACCAAGAGGGACCGATGTCGATGTGGCCTTGGTCTGGCAAAGAGACGCTGCAAACATGTCATTTCTAAGCAGTTCCTCGAAGTTCGGTGGGTATATTACTTGCAACATAAGGCCGGTGCAAGCTTCTTCCACCTTAACTTCGTCCCCAGCCTGGACGCCAATTGCTTCTTCAACCCCCCTTCCTTCTTCGGAATTTAATTCCTCCCTTCGGAAAAGATCAAGAACTTCCTCTAATTCACATCTGTCATCCTCCACAACTTCTTTCCTCATCCTTTCTCGCTCTTCTTCTTCTAGCACGGATTGGAGAGCAAGTTGCCAAGCAATTTCTTTCATGAGATCATCTTGCACCTCCTTGCTCATGCCCACCTCTTCAAAGCTTAGTGTGGGATGTGGGAAGGTGTGGTCGGCTACAACAGGACATTCTTGATCATGATCTTCATGGGAGCTCTCCGTGACAACTTCTGTTTGCTCTGCAATGTCCTTGTAGCCTTCATCTTCCTCCTCCTCTTCTAGTATGGTAGCAGAAGGGTGATCGTGAGCAAGTTGCGCACAAACTTGCTCAACCTGCTCTTGCTTTGCTGAGTGCGGAACAGTCTCCTCCGATTCAAGAAGGGATGAAGAGTTAGGAGAAGAAAAGGATGGGAAAAGGAGGTCCATCTTGCGATTGCGTCTCTCGGTGTCCCGAGCAAACTGCTCCACGAGAAGCCTCAATTCATAGTTTGGATCTGGTCGTGGAGTGTAGCATGGCTTTGCAGAATGGCCCGTGAAGGCCGCCATGGCTAACTCCAGCTCCGATGGCCCTTCTGGTTGTGGAAGGAATTCTTCTTCATAAGGATACTGTTCTTGAAATGTCCAAGGGTCCGATTGTTCTCCATAGTAAGGGGATTGGTACTGAAACCCGAATCCATAGTCTTCTCCTCCTTGATTGCTCCATGAAGTCTCGGGGTAATACCACTCGGACGGTGGTGGATACCCACAATGGTTGGAGAAGCCATGAGGATCCATGATTCAGATCTACACCAACAAAAACAAAAACACCCAAGTGAAAAGCAAGGGTGGAAAAGAAAAGAAAAACGCTAAAGTAACAAACTTCTGCCTTTCCTAATAATCTAGAAAGTCCCCGGCAACGGCGCCAAAAACTTGACTCGCTATGACACAACTCCT